GAGATTGGAATAGAAGAGAAGAAGGAAAAAACATAAACCAATCATGTGCTAAGAATAGCAACACTTGTGTTCAAGGGTGGCCCTTGGGTTAGAGTTCACGCAGGGTTACCACGGCCAGAGAGATTGAAACCATTGGGAATTGCCTACACTGGGGGCTGCAAGGGCCACTGGAGGCCGTGAGCTAGGCTGAATTGTGTATTTCTGTGTGTTGGTCTTGGTTTGTTTCCGTCACTTGCATGATATTCCTTCACCTGTGAAGTGACCGTTGTCTCACACCAGCACCACCTGCAGCTGTCTGACCTCTGGGCCTTCTCCCCTCAGTCTTTTGAAGGCATGATTTGCCAGCCTTAAAATCCCAAGCAAACTGTTTGCTTCCCTGTCAGCTAGAAGCCAAAGTAGAGTTGTGAAATGAGTATGTTTTTGTGTTCCCTTGGGCTATTAGAATAATTTTACAAAAGTAACTTGGAAGGACTAAGGAATAAATAACTTTTTAGGGCTGTCAGTTAGTGGATTAGACTAGTAAGAGGAGTTATTGTGAAGCCATTGATTTAGCATGTTTTATACTAAACATAATTGAAATTTTAAAATAAGGATTATTCTTTAATGTCCATTTAAAATTTGTGAGGTTTTTGACTGTTCTTCAAATGTGTACTATAATAACCTAAAATGACTTTATTGTAGGTGCAAAAGGGCTGAGGGTGTAGATCAGTGGAAGGGCCCTGAGTCCAATCTCCAGGAGCTCAGAATAATAATAATAATAAAGGCATATATTTGGGTAATTGCATCCTTATGGAGAAGACTGGGCTTATCTCTTCTTTAATTTCTTTATTCAACTAAATTTCAAATGTGTATCTAAATTACTAGATGTGTGACCTTGAAAAAGTCAGTTTAGCTCTATGATAATCACTTTTCTCATGTTTAAAAGGAGGTTAATGTTGTCTAGCTCAGTGAACTGGGTTGTAGGAGATAAATGAGACATGTGCCTGGATTACAGTTAGCACAGATGCCAATTATGGAAACTGCTGTAATTGCAGAATCGTCATTTGAGCATGTAATATTTTGACAATGATAAACCAGCAGATTGTCACCTGAGGATGATGAATAGTAAGGAAAAGAACATAGGTTTATTTGATTTAATAATTAATATACACAGTTGATTAGACTTGCAAATTTTAAAAACATACTGTCAAAGAAGAAATCTTAGGATTTATCTCTAAAAGAAATCATAGAACCTGTCTTCAGAAAAGACAGATTCAATGCAATTCCCATTCAACTACCATTAGCGTACCTCACAGATATTGAAAAAGTATGCCTTAAATTCATCTGGAACCAGAAGAGACCCAGAATAGCAAAAGCAATCCTGGGCAACAAGGACAAGTCAGGTGGAATCACAATCCCTGA